GGCTCGCTGGGGCAGCCTCACCTGGCGCGTCGCGCCCTGAGTACATCGCCAGGGAGCCGTAACCGCAGAGAGCAGCCGCGGAAGTCGGGGGGAGGGCGGTCGGAGTGTGTCACCGAGCAAGCAGATGGGCAAACAGCTTCTTGTGGTGCTGTAGCCTTGTGGGTCGGAGTGTGTCACCGAGCAAGCAGATGGGCAAACAGCTTCCTGTGGTGCTGTAGCCTTGTGGGACCCAGGATATTAGAGAGACGGAGGAGTGTGTGTGTGTGGTAATAGCTATTATCAGATCATCTATTAGTGTGGCTATCTCTGCACTACAGATTGCTTCAGTATAACTTATGTCATTCTGGGGTGAGTGTGATGGGTTGGGCAACCCTCCACCTTGGGTCTGTCGCCTGAGGTGCTGAGACATCACAAAGCCTGTTTTCCCTTACAGCTGTGAGCCTATGTTGTTGAGCCTGTCTCTTCAGCCTGTTGCAGCACAGGGACAGAGCCCCCCCCCCCCCTCCCCAAATCTGCAGACTCAGGAAGCAGTCCAATGTGAGACCATTCCCAGCACTAGGGATGTAAGTGACTAGTCAGCTACCCGATAAGCATATGCTTATTGGGAAGTCGAGTAGTGATGTGAACCTGTAGTTGCTGTAATGTAGACATATCCTGAGAGAGAAAAACTTCTGAGATCACTTAGGCCACTCATTAGTCAAAACTGAGCTAAGAATTAGGGATGTAGAGGGTTAATCAATTACCTGGCAAGCATTGCCCTACCGGTATATTTACCGGGGTAACCAGTTGACTGGCCAGAGCAGCCCCTGCCCACGGCGCACCAGGCTGGGGCCTGGCTAGGCTAAGCAGCCTCATGATGCAGTGTAGCAGGCCATCCGAGGGGCTGCTCAAGTGTCCCCCTCTTTCTCCAACCCACCCCCCCGCCTGCAACATATAGTCAACCAGTTAACATATAGTTTAATTGGTTAACATTTTAAATGGGATTTTACAGCCCTACTAAGAATCCACAAAAGCCTCGTGTGCAATTACCAAATGAAGAAGAATTATCTAATATAGTATGAAACATATTCAAGCAAGATCAGAAGACTGAGTCAATCAAAGTAGGGGTGTAATAGTACAGGCAGTCCCCGGGTTACGCGGATCCGACTTATGTCGGATCCGTACTTACGAACGGGGCTTTTCTCGCCCCGGAGGGCGCGGGCGGCGGGACTGCCCAGACGCGCCGCGGTCCCACTGCCTGCGTCTCCCTGGTCTGCTGGGGGGGGGATGCAGCTAGTGCGCCCTCCTCCCCCCCCCAGCCGAGC